GAAGAATAATAATAATACGGATAAGAAGAAGAATGATAAGCATAAGAGGAGGAGGAGGAGGAGGAGGAGGAGGAGAGTTGGAGGAGGAGGAGGAGGAGATTTGGATGAGGAGTTGGAGGAGGAGAGTTGGAGGAGGAGGACGAGTAGGAGGAGGATGAGGAGCACGGAAGCGCAACACATGGACTGGGGCGCGAGGATTAACGATGGGTCTTGCTTCCGTGCAGATAGGCGCGCTCCGTCGCAGGTGGCAATGGTTTCATGTGTCGGGGCGTACTTTGCCCAATCCGTTGATCTGGCGCCCACGCGCCAGAATCACGGATCCGGAGTCCATGCTAGTGTGTGCCTAGGATGAGAGGAGGGAGGCAGTTGGAGGAGGACGAAGAAGAAGTGGGGAACTAGAGTAAACGCAAGATGCATCAGCAATGCTGTAATAAACACGCGCACAAACATCCTAAATGCCCTTGTTCACATGTCATTGCATGCATTCGTGTTTACACCGAGGCGCGCCCCTTTGAAGGACCAGTACGCTATAGGCTTGCCTATAGGCTTGCCAATCAGGCGAGATCCCCGAGCTGACAAGGAATTGTATTGCATCCTTTTTGCGCCCATTACGGAGTGCGAACTGGAGTCCAGAGAGATCCGTGTGTTCAAAAGGGCCGCCCCAATCCGCGTGACTGTTACACGCATGTGCAATTCGGGCCCCGAACCGCGAAGCAGCCACAAGCGAGAGCCCGATGCTGAGACGGAGCAGGCCACCAACTGTGCAATTGCTACATCTGTTGAAGCTCTTGGCCTTTATCGTGCAATAATGTCACATGCAAGGAAGTCTCAAGCGGGAGCCCCAGTCTGAAAAGTATTACAGGCAGCCCGCATAGTACGGATGGGCAACCTTCCCAAGGGCACCCCTCCATTCTCGCCTCCCCGGTCCATCCGTTGCCACGTTCGTTGGCCGCGCCCCGCAAGAGGAGCTTCGAAGAGGGCTTCCGAGGCCCTTGCATCCTTCTCGCGCATCCTCATGATAGTACGGGTCGCACTGTGCTGTTTGGCCAGCGGCCACCGCGGACGAGCCACGGGAACCCGAGCAGCTCTGGAGGTCTAGAGGTTGGCACCAGCACCAATATCGGCGGCGTTCGGGGGCGGACAGAACCCCCAACAGTGGCACGTCGATTAGTGAATTGTCCGTTTTCGGTTCTCGAGAGGGCGCCGTGGCCGTTATTTTCCAGGCTTGCGCCCGCCAGGTTTGGGCCTCGGGTCGTTTTCACCAAACCACGCCTTGCTAAAGGGGGGTCGGTCCATCCCCGGGGCGTGCCTCTACCGAGGGGCGATGATCCCGATCTCGGTGCTGGCCGCACTGCTCGGGCTTCCCAGGTGGCCGAGACACCAGCGCCCCGGCACCGACACCTGCGAGCATCCTCCCCCCGTGGACGCACCCCCCTGCTGTGGTGCGGGTGTGGATTGCCAAGCCTCCACGGTTGGAGCAGACGGAGCTCAGGAGGAAAAAAACCACACAGACACAATGAATCGTCGATTCCCAGGAGAGTATGGGAAAGTACGGGAAGTGGGGGGGGAGACGAAAACCTTGAAAATATAAGAAAACATGGGGAATGGTGGCAGTTTCCCCACATCCAAAGTGGGGTTCTTGTTTTCTCTGCACACGCCGCGCAGGATCTCACCCCCCCTTCCTCACACACACACACACACACACACGCACACACACACACACTCTCACACACACACACACTCACTCACACATTCACCATCATCACCACCACCATCACCACCATCATCATCATCATCATCATGACCTTGGATATTCTTTCTTTGGAAATAATGGTGCACGCTCGCGCATAGATTATTTTATCACACCACAACCGCTCATGAGCAACATACGGTGCATGCACATGTGCTGGCGCAGACATCGACAGTTGAACGTTCTCCGACATGTACTGGACCACATTCCCATGGCCATGGAAGTGACTGTCACCGCCCCTCCATCACCCCAAGAGCGGGGATACTGTGTCTGGGACTGGGGCTTGATTGCGGCAGGTCTACAGATTGGGCACGCACGGCGTGAGTTTCTCACCGACCTGCACGGCGCACTCCGACAGGCAGCCCCGATCCTCGACACCATTATTGAGGACGACGACCCCACTCGGCACGCGGCGGTCGTCAGCCACATCATACGCACCACGGCCATGAAATACTATTCCAAGGACAACAACACGCCACAGTGGGTACAGGATGCACGTGCAGAGCGCCTCACCTTACTTCGTCAGCGCGCGTGTTTACGTGAGCAGGGTGCACAGTACGACTCAGCCCAGCTTAAAGAAGTCAACAGGAACATCAAAAAGTTTCAGCGGTGGAAGAATGACTGGTGGAAGTATTCTATTGAGCAGGAACTACGGGAAGCATGGTCCCGACGGGAATCGGCGAGAGTGGCGGAACTAGCACGTCTACGGGCAGGCACGCGTACGGGTGCACGCAAGCGTTCATACCTCGC